GGGTTTGAGCTGGCCCAAGTGACCCTTCCAACAGGACAATGACCCTAGCACCCCCCAACCTTGACAAGGACTCCTCGGCCTGGAGCCCTGTGATGGATTGGCTGGTGTTTGGGTTCAGGGTGCCACTCAGGGTGCTGGGGGCCTTCCATATGGTGGTTCAGATGTGACTGCAGCTGACCAGGGTCACAGGGAGGTCCCCCACTGCTGGGCCTGCCTGTGGCTACCACCACCATGCTGTTCCTCTGTTGGTTTCCCTTTCACCTCCTGTGGCTGCTGGGTGCACAGGGGCTGGGGCTGCAGCTGAAGGATGTGTGGGTGCTGCTGAGAACCCTGCCCCTCACTCTTCTGGGCTCCAGTGGCTGCCTCAGACCACTGCTGTATGTGTGTAGGGACCAGGCCTTCCAGGGGCAGCTGCTCAGAGCCCTGTGGTCCCCATGAGACAGACGAAGGGACAGGGAGGCAGAGGGTACGTAGCACTGGGAGTGGAGGCCAAGAGGCACTAGAGGGGTCTGAGAGCACCAGCAAAGCTTAGAGGGGCCGTTCTCTGAGAATGTGGGGTGAGCTGAACTGAAGACGTGCTGATGAGGAGAGAGAGACAGAGACAGAGGCCCAGAGAGAGACAGAGACCCAGAGAAACAGAAAAAGACAGAGATAAATAAATACCCAGAGAGATATAGAGGGACAGAGATCCAGAGAGACAGAGACAGAGAGAGATCCAAGACCCAGAAGGAGGGACAGAGACAGAGAGAAAGGAGAGAGAGAGAGAGATTGAGAGAGAGAGAGAGAGAGGAGACAGAGACAGAGACAGACAGGGTAGGGAGAGGACCCAGCAGCAGGGAGGATGAGCAGCCGGCCCCTTGGGTTGGAGACACACCATCGGCAGCAGACAGACGTCCTGACAAGGGGCAAGGTGCAGACAAGCTGCAGGGCAGACGAAAACCGAGAGGCTCTAGTGAGAGATGGAAATTAAAACCGGGACAGAGGCAGGCAGGGGGACAGGGAGACAGAGACGGAGGCAGCAGGCCCATGGGCCCGGATGTGAACAAAATTAAGCTGTGACACAGGTCAGCCACCGCCCACCTGCTCCTGAGCCCAAGGCCCGGTGCTAATGTGGGGACAGCTCCATGCAAACCAGGGTGCTGATCCCATCAGCGGCACAGAGACCAGTGGCACCTCTAAACTGCTGGTTCCTAGACAAGTACAGGTACTCCTTCTTCTAGGGCTTCAAAAGTCCCAAGTCCCTTCTATTATCCCTCCCCTTTTTGGATGGAACCAAAGCCTTGAGTATGCTAAGGAAAAGTTCTACCGCTGAGCCACACCCCAGCCCCTCACTGGGGGATCTAGGCAGGGGCGCTACCACTGAGCCACCCCCAGCCCCTCACTGGGGGATCCTAGGCAGGGGCTCTACCTCTGAGCCACACCCCAGCCCCTCACTGGGGGATCCTAGGCAGGGGCTCTGCTGCTGAGCCACCTCTCAATCATGAAGGCAAACTTCTACCCATTTTTTAAGGGGTGATTGTTTTCTGAGACAGGATCCCACTCTGTAGCCTAAACTGGCCTCAGACACATGGGCATTCTTTCTGTCTTAGCCTCCCCAGAGCTGGGCTGACTGGCCTGCACTACCACACCGAGCTCTGCTGAGCCTTTGACACCATCAAATGAAGCAGGATAGAAAAGGGGAAAATCAAGGGGACGTGCACAGAAAAAGGAGCACTTTACCCAGGAGTCTGGCTGAAACCTCCCACCAGGTGAAGAGTCAAGAATACCACATGGCTGGAGAGATGGCTCAGTGGGTTAGGGTACTTACCACCCAGGACCCATGTGGTGGAAGATGAGACTAGACTCTCAAAAGGTGTCTTCTGACTGCCACATGAGCGCTATGACACACATGCTCCTCTCCGACACACACCAACCCCCAAACCCATTTGCATCTATTGCTGCCTACACAGAGAACATAGGTCCTATGTAGAGATGTTTGAGGGTGTTAAAACAGCAACTTGGTAACTGAAGTCCTAAGCGCATTGGGCCATACTCCTTTCACAGCTGCAAGCCTGCCATCTTCTGGGAAGTTCACAAAAAAAAACTTTAAACTTTGAGCTTTGAGTAGTCAAAACTTGTCTTAGGGGCTGGAGAGATGGCTCAGTGGTTAAGAGCACTGGCTGCTCTTGCAGGGGATCCGGGTTTGGTTCTCAACACCCACTCAGTAGCTAGCAACCATCCAGTTCCAGGGGATCCAATGCCCTCATCTGGCCTTCTTGGGCATTGCACACACACGTACACACACACACACACACACACACACACACACTTTAAAATAATAAAAATAAGTCTTACAAAATCTTTGTGTGTATGATGTGTGTGTGTGAGAGAGTGTGTGTGTGTATGCTAGGGCACATGTGTGGAGGTCAGAGGACAGCCTTGGGTGTCTGTCCTCACTGCCCACCTGTGGTTCTTTGCTGCTGTGTACATCAGGCTAGCTGGCCTTTAGGCTTCCAGAGATTCTCCCCAGCCTGCCTTCTGTCTCTCCACAGGGGTCCTAGGATTATAGATTCACACAAACACACCTGGTGCACACAGGTGCACTTACATGCAGACAAAACACTCATATACATAAAAATTTAAAGGGGAAACACGAAAAACAAAAAATTAATTAAAATAAAAGCCAGGTATGATTGTGCATACTTTCGGTCTTAGCACTTGGGAGGCAGTGGGAGGTGGATCTCTGAGTCCGAGGCCATAGGAAATTCCACGTCAGTCAGGGCTATATAGTGAGACTTGTCTCAGAAAATTAAATCAAATCAAAAAGCATAGCATTAACCAGCACATAGAAAGTATTTATTTGTTAAAAAGTTAAAATAGTCAGGTGTGGTGGCACATAGCCTTTAATTCCAGCACTCAGGGGGGCAGAGGCAGTGGATCTCTGAGTTTGAGGCCAGCCTGGTCTATGTAGACTTCCAGACTATCCAGGGCTACACAGTGACATTCTGTCTCAAAACAAAAAACAAAAACAAAATTAAAATTAAATAAAATAGCAATAATTAAGAAATAGGAGAAATAGCTCAGTTGTTAAGAGCACTGGATGTTCTTGGAGTGGATCCAGGTTCAAATCCCTGCACCCACATGGCAACTAACAACAGTCCATAACTCCAGTTCCAGGGGAATTTGACGCCCTCTTCTGACCTCTGCAGACTTTGCATCACATGGGTGCACTTACATATGTGCAGACAGTACACTCACACACATAAATAAATAGATTAATAAAATAAAAGAATCCCAAGCCTTGATGGAGGTCTCTGTAAAGAACTCGGACAGCTGTCTTGGGTGGCTGGAGCCTGGTCTCCAAACCCACTCCTCTCTTCACACGGGAGGCGCCTTTGCAGCCTTCAGCTTTCCCTCCGGCTAATGCATCGCTGCATCCTGGGGCTCAGGATCCCGGAACTACCTGTTCATATCACCCGGGGGAGCACTCAGAGCTGAATCGATGCCCCACCCCACCCCAAGCGCGATGGTGGGACTTGCCAAAGCCCTCAGCGGATTTCCACAGCCCTGGCCTGAGACCCATCCATCTCCATAGGCCTGCGGTTGAGAAAATGCCAAGTTGATAGCTCCCGGAGGACGCAGAACCTCATAAGTGGTCAAGTCCTGCGGGAGAAGGGGTGTGGAGAGCCAAAGGCTGGCGTTGTTATGTGGTTGCAAACCACAGCCAAGTCTATCTGGGGAGCGAGGAGGTTGGAGGAACATTGTATATAGGTGATGGGGGGGCGGGGCGGAGAGGGCTATTTATAAAAGGCTTCAGTGGATGAGATGCAAAGTAGAGGTGAAGGGTACAGCAGGTGAAAATAAACTAGGAGTGTAGATGCTTGGCCATTTTTAATGAGTTATGGGGCTAGGGATGTAGCAGTGGTGGAGGGGGAGGATGTGGGACTCAGGGTGTCTGGGAGAGCGCCCAGGCCCATGAAGGTCCAGCCTGGGTTGCAAAACTCAAGCCCCTTGGCTGGTTTCAGTCTGGGAAGCTAATCCGAGAGCGCCACCGTGCGGTTATTTCTAGGACTGCATGCAAGGGCTCATCGCATGGAATGTATTTGAGAGCAGAGACCTGTCCTCATCCACAGAGGGCGCCATGACCCATCTGGTTCTTGCCCTGAAAACCGCCTGGGGAGGCTGGAGAAGGTGACGGGAAGGTAGTGGAAGGTGCTAACAGACTACCTATTTCAGGTTCTAGACACTTCTAAAAGCAGGGACACTTGACAACAGGTGATGAAGGGAAAAGAGGGAAGAAATGTTAACATTCTTTCAGATAATAAAGAAATTACAATTACAGACCCTCCACAGCTTACTAAGTCCCTTCACATCTCTGATGTCTGGCAATCCTGGAAGTGGACTTCCAAATGTACAGAACAAAGGTTTTCCCCCTTTGCCTGGCAGAGAAAGAGGGTTCTGCCGGTTTGGAGCTAGGTAGCAAGCTCAGTTTGAGCAGGTGCAGCTCGGACTGCATGGCACTGCATGAACAGGGCCCTGGCACTGCGTTGTTCTTACACTCACAGTTGAAACATCCTTTGAGTGTGGGTGTTCCTCAGAGCCCAGGCCAGAGGCTGGGCCTTGACCCTCAAACTAGAGAGGGTAGATCCTCATCACCCTCCTCCCTCAGACCCAGGGGTCCAGATCCCAGCCCTCCTCCCTCAGACCCAGGGTACTCCCCAGCCTCCTCCCTCAGACCCAGGGGTCCAGATCCCAGCCCTCCTCCCTCAGGCCCAGGGTAGTCCCCAGCCTCCTCCCTCAGGCCCAGGGGTCCTCCCTAGCCTCCTCCCTCAGACCCAGGGGTCCAGATCCCAGCCCTCCTCCCTCAGACCCAGGGTACTCCCCAGCCTCCTCCCTCAGGCCCAGGGTACTCCCCAGACTCTTCCCTCAGACCCAGGCGGCCTTCCCAGCCCTCTTTCTTCCCACCAAAAGTATGGTTTTGAAACCATAGTCCTTGGACGAGTGGGCAGCAGGAGCCAGGGTCTTGTGCTGTTACATTTATTAAGTCTCAGAGGCCCAAGTCATGGTTGAACAGATGGAGGTTGGGCTGGTGGACTAGGAAAGGGCTGGTGGACTAGGGAGCCATGTCTTCTCACTGCTGAGACTGTGGCAGAGACAGAGACAGGGTAAAGGTACATGGAGACAAGTTACAGAAAGAGCCTTGAAGAAAGAGACTAGAGGAACAACCTCCCCTCCTGCACCCCATCCCCTCCTGTACCCAACTCCAAATCCTGGGCCTGGCCACCCTCACCTTGTGGAAGAAGTAGATGGAAGCCAGAATGGTGAACACAGCCATGGCCAAGGTCACATTCTGGGGGAGGAGGGCAGAGGTCAGCTCCCTCCCTTCCTCCCTCCACCCTACCCCTGGCCTTTCACCTGTCCTCACTTCCTGTAAGTTCATGGCCATAGATCCTAGCCACACAGCGGCTTGGCCTCCCTTCCTCGGGCCTCTGAGTTAGTTGGGAGAAGCCTCAAGAATGGGAAGGAGTTGTTAGGAAATGGTGGCCATGGTGACCAGGGAAGGGCATTCTGGGTAGACAAGACATTCCGGGGGCATTATGCTGAGGGGGATGTGGGTGTGGAATGTCACATGGGTTGCTCAAGTTCAGCATCAACACCTGTAAGAGTCCAGACCTCAAGCTCCTCACTGAGAAGATGGGGTTTCTTCCCTGAAAGGTGTTTGGGAGCCATGGGAAAATCATGAACAGGAACAACATGCTGGGCCCTGGGTGTCCGTGGTATCTCAAGGCAGAGGGACTCTGGAGGAAGGAACAATAGTCAAGTGGCCCAGGCAAAACGGCATCCCCCCCCAGCCCCCCGTGTCTGCCAGATGCAAGGGTGGGGAAGACAGACTGACAGATTACACTGGAGTCTTGGAGCCTGGTCCCCAGGCTGGAGAGGAGGCTGGAGTAGTGGTGGCTGGGGCTGACCTCTGAGCCACAGTAACTGAGACCCTTAGACTCTTGAGTGTCTATCTGCTGTTCACCATATCAGGCCTCTCTCTCTCTCTCTCTTTCTGTAGATTTCAAACACTTTTTCTGTCCTTCCTGCCTTTAAAATGACTTTCCATAAGCCGGGCATGGTGGCAGAGTCGGGAGGCAGAGTCAGGAGGATCTCTGTGAGTTCAAGGCCAGCCTGGTCTACATAGTGAGTTCCAGGACAGCTGGGGCTACAGGGAGACCCTGTCTGAAAAAGACCCCCCCCCCAAAAAAAACCCCAAAAAACTTTCCAGGTGACGAGGGATACAGAGGAGGGGGTGGAGGAACATAGGAAACTTAGCACGTGGGATTTCCTCATTGCCACCTCACCTGAGCACTGGAGGTGCCTTTGTCCCCCACATGTAGATTCCCGCTGTAAACAAAGAGGAACCGAGAATGCATGAAACAGGGCAGCGTGGTACATCTTATCCAGCTCCCTGGCAGCGATGGTGATGTCCCAGGCTGGATACTGAGGGCAGTGAGGGTTGGAAGCCACCTTGGGGAAGCCTAGTGTTCCAGCTCTGACACCTATCAGTTGGTGACCTCAGGTGAATCACTTAAAGACTGCTGAGCCATTTTGTTTGTTTGTAAAGAAAACATGGGCCAAGATGAGGGTCGTGGAGATGGCTCAGTAGGTAAAGTACTTGCCATGTAAGCAGGAGGAACTGAGTTTGACTACCCAGCACTCGTGTACAAAGGCCAGCATGGTGGCACACACTTGTAACCCCAGCACTGGGGTGGGGTGGGGGCCGGACAGGAGGATGAGCTGGTCTAGCAAATCAGTGAGTTCTAGGTGCAGTGAGGGCCATCAGATTGGGAGGAAAGTGATTGAGGAAAATATTTTGACCCAGGGTCTCAGTATGTAAGCAATCCAGCTGGCACTGAACTCACTTCTAAGTACTGAGACAGGCATAGTACTTATAATCGCAGCACTTGGGAGGTAGAGACAGGAAAATCACCATGAGTTCAAGGCCAGCCTAGGTTATATAGTGAGTTCCAGGATGACTAGGGTTACATAGTGAGGCTTTGTCTCAAACAAATCATTTGTAGAATACTTCCCTACGTGTATGAAGGTCTGGGTTCCATTCCCAGCACCACATAGGCCAAGTGTGGCGGCACACCTACAATCCCAGTACTTGGGGATAGAGGCAGGAGGATGAGGCGTTCAAGGTCATTCTTGGCTACACAGTGAGTTCACGGCCAGCCTGGGCTACTCTAGATGTGATTTGAATGAGAAATGTTCCCGTAGGCTCAGGTATTTGAACACCTGGTCCCCAGTTGGTGGTGGTGTTTGGGGAGGTCATGGAACCTTTACATTATGGAGCCTTGTAGGAGGAAGTAAAGTCACTGGGGGTGGGCTTTAAGGGTTTATTACCTCGCCTAACTTCCTGTTCTCTCTCTCTCCCTCCTCTCTCTCCCTCTCCTCCCTCCCTCCTCTCTCTCCCCCCTCTCCCTCCTCTCTCCCTCCTCTCCCTCCTCTCTCTCCCTTCTCTCCCTCCTCTCTCTCTCCCTCTCTCTTTCTCTCTCTCTCTCTCTCTTTCTCTCTCCCTCTCCCTCTCCCTCTCCCTCTCTCCTCTCCTCTCTGATTGTGCCTGAGATGTGACCTCCCAGCTTTCCACACCTGCCATGTCACCATGATAAACTCAATGGAACTGTAAGCTAAAATAAACTCTTTTAAAGTTGCTTTGGGTCAGCTGGCATGGTGGTACACGCCTTTGATCCCAGAACTCACAGCCTAAATGGTAAAAGATAAACTCCTGTTGCCATAAGCAGCTCAGGAGGTGGCAATTTGTCACCAGCGTTAGGACAAAAACACAGACCCCATACATACACAGGGGAGGGGAATGACAGGTGTCACCCGGCCCCATTCAGAACCCAAAGTGTCAGCCTGGAGTGGGACAGAGCAGAACCTGGAGTTGCACAGCAGTTTCCTCCCAAGTGCATTAAGACTCAGAAGTTCTTTTTAAAAATTTTATTATTTTTATTTTACATGTATGTGTGTATTACCTGCATGCATATGACTATATGTATGTGTCATGAAATGCCCTCTGAGGACAGAGGAGGTCATCAGATCCCCTGGAACTGGAGTTACAGACAGTTGTTAGCTGCCATATGGGTGCTGGGATTCAAACCTGGGTTTTCTGCAAGAGCAGCCAGTGCTCTTAACTGCTGAACCATCTCGCACAAAACTCAGACGTTCTAAAGGAGGCTGGAAAAGACTAGAGAAGATTCAGGAAGTTGACCAGATGTGCAAGGCACCTCCCTCCCTGGGGTTACATACGCAGTAAGGGCTGCTATGGAGACTCAGGCCAGTGGAGCTGCCTGGGAGAGGCACAGACCAGCCGAGCTGCTTAGAGGACTAACCTGCAGAGCTCACTGCAGGCTGTGCAGTGCTCCAGGCTTCCAGGCTTCCACGCTGGGGTGGGCTTTGGTGATGCAGCTGACTTTGAGTCATTTAAGCACCTGTGACCCCTCTCCCACACTCCTGTATGTAATCCCAATAAAACCCATTGGCTCACCAAGTTGGACTTTGGTGGTGTCTGTACTTTGGTCCGTCACTGGTTTTTTATCTGGGGTGAGGTGTCACATGACACTGACAGGAGCCGAGAGGGGGTCTGGGTGGTGGGACAGACATAGGAGGGTAGAGAAGGATATATTCCTGGCTTTGCCTGTGGGTCCCTAAGATGTCCAGGTCCTATAAACGTGTGACTTTACGTGGGGAGCGAATTCGGCAGGTGTGAGTTCAAGGACCTGAGGTGGAGAGATGGTCTGTGATTGTCCAGGTGGCCCCACATATCACTACAAGGGTCCTGACTGAGGGAGGCACAGGCCATGGAAGAGGAAACCATGGAAGAGAAAAGAGTAAAGATGTTGTAGGGGCTTCACTGGAGAAGACCACTCAGACAAAGCTTTGCCGAATACAAGTCTACTAGCTGGCCAGTGAAAAGACAAGTTGTCAGAACCCAAGTATGTAGCACTAAGCCATCTTTAGGGTAAGCTTATATACAGAAAAACCATGACAGGAGTGAAAAGTTTAAGTTCCCAAGCTTACAGGTGGAGAGCCCCCTTAACAATTTCTATTCTCTTAAGCAATAGTTACTATTTTGCAGAAGCAAGCCAAGCATAACCTACAGAAGCCATAAGTCTGCAGTTAGCAGGTGCACTCTGGAACACACTGACCCATTCCCAAGGCAGCTGGGGTCCTGCTGATGTGTCTTCCCATACCCTGGGCAACTACCTAATAATTTCAGAGGCTAGAGTTAGCCTAAACTTCAACATGGCACAGCTATGGTCAAGAAGGTGCCACATCACAAAGACAATTATGTACAGGGCTGGAGAGATGATTCAGTGGGTAAGAGCGCTGGCTGTTCTTGCAGAGGACTGGGATTTGGTTCCCAGCCACCCACGTCGCACCTAACAACTCTCTGTAACTCCAGGGAATGCAGTGCCTTCTTTTGACCTCCATGTGTGGTGCACTTATATACATGCAGCAAAACATTCATAAAACTAAAAAAAAAAATTAAAAGACAGGTATGTATGAAAATATCTTAATGGGGCTGGGCTGGAGTGAGGTTGGTGGAGTGCTTGCCAGTGGCCCTGGGTTTGATTCTCAACACTGAAAATTCCAGGTGTGTGGTGCACCTGCAATCCTGGCCCTCAGGAGATAGAGGAACAGGGAACAGAAGTTCAAAGTCATCTTCAGCTTCATGGTGCATAGTGCCTTTGAGGCCACCCTGAGATGCATGAGACCCAGTCTCAAAACACAAACAAAATTAAGGGCCTTCAAGGTGGCTCAGCGGATAGACACCTGCTCACAAGCCTGATGACCTGAGTTCACTTTCTGGGATTCACGTGGTGGAAGGAGAAAACTGAGTCTTTAAGTTGTCCTCTGACCTCCACCAGTGTGACATGGCAGGTGAACACACACACACACACACACACACACACACACACACACACACAGTTTAAAAAGTTGTTTTAGCCTGGTGTGATGGTGCACGCCTTTAATCCCAGCACTCAGGAAGCAGAGGCAGGCAGATCTCTCTGAGTTCAAAGCCAGCCTGGTCTACAGAGTGAGTTCCAGGACAGCTGGGACTACAGGGAGACCCTGTCTTAAAAAGACAAAAAAATCTAAAGGTATTTTGACACAGTCTCACTATGTAGCCCTATCTGGCCTGGAACTCACCATGTAGACCAGGCTGTCCTTGAACTGACAGAGATCTGCCTGGCTCTGCCTCTGAGTGCTGGGATTAAAGGCATGTGAAAAAGTTAATAACACACACACAGACAAATGGAGGGGGCAGGGGCCACCAGATTAAGGTAACCAGAGGGGGCGTGGCAACGAATGGTGGTACCACATGGCTGGCTTTGAAGAGGCAGCCACAGAACACAGCTCTGGAAGGTGAGAGAGAAGGGATGGGGATCCCCCCCCCCACCGCCAGAGCTGGGCAGGAATCGCTGGTTGTCTGCCGCTACCCGTTTGGCAGTCACTTTGAGCGAGCACACCAGGGACAGCACCTCTGGAGACAGATTCTCATTCCTGGTGCACCTTGTTCCTGTGCTTGGTGTCACCTCTGCTTGCCTCATGTTTTGCTCTGATGTTAAGGAAGTTGGGAGTTACACTGACTCACCCTAGCAGAAGCTGAGGCAGGAGGGTTGTAAGTTCTAGCCAGCCCAGGCTACAGAGTGAGTTCAAGGCTAGCCTGGGCAACTTATTGAGCTCCTGTCTCAAAATAAAAAGAAATAAGGAGGTGGGGTGGGGATGGCTGGGGATGTAGCTCAGTCACACAGCACTCCCTCAGTATATGTGGGTACCATGGTGCAAACTCCCATCATACAAAATGCAAAGTGCTCCTGAATTCCTGACCCATGAAACCCCATGGACAGTAACAAATTCGAGGCTCATTTGGTGAAGTGCTTGCCATACAAACATGAGGACCTGACTTTGGACCCCACGTAAAAAGCTGACACAGTGTGAACCTGTGATCCTAGAGCTGGTGCAACAGAGCCAGGAGGATTCTTGGAGGTCAGTCCAGCCAAACTGGCAGGCTCCAGGCTCAGTAAGAGACCCTGTATCAAAAATTGAGGTGGAGGGCTGGTTAAGAGCCCTGGGTGCTCTTGCAGAGGACCTGGGCTCCATTCCCAGCACCCACATGGAGGCTCACAACTGTAACACCAGTTCCAGGGGATCCGACACCCTCTTCTGGTTTCTGTGGGCATTGTATGCACATGGTGTACACACATACGTGCAAATACTCAAGACACATAAAAAAGTAATATCTTCAAAAAAAAAAAAAAGGGGGTAAAGTGATTGAGGAGGACACTTACCAGACTCTGGCCTCCAAACACACTCACATATGCATACCTAGCCACCCACACATACACAGATACATTGCTAAGTTTTAGGGCCATTTATTACATGGTCATAATCATTACATGATTTGTAGTGGTGACTTTCTGAAAACAGGTTCTCTTAAGTGCTTAGTGTAACACATTCATCTGCATCATTTTGTGAGATGAATGCACAGAGAGGCACAGTAACTCACCCAAAGCCACACAGCTTGTAAATCGTGAGATTTGAACCTAGCCTGTCTATAACTCCTGGGTGTCGGTGTTTGGTCACAGGGCCCTGTTGGTTTTGATCAGCTTGTAGGTGGCATGAAAACCACCTTCAGAGAGCACTAACACTTTTTTTTTTTTTTTTTTTTTTTTTTTTTGGGGGGGGGGGATTTTTTTTTTTTTTTTTTTTTCGGGGTGGGGACAGACTGGGAGAAGGGAGAGAACAGAGGCGGTAAGTCTAAAGTGTAGGGAAACCTGGATTTGTCTCCTGGTAACGGTGTTCGGGCTTTCCCACTTACTAGGTGCTTCATCAAGCAAGCCAGTAGCCCTGTTGTGCCTCAGTTTCTCTGTCTGCAAAGCAGGGACACTGGTGGTTGTATGGATACTTTCTGGGGTTGGTGGAGATGAAATGGGTTAATCCCAGTCCCAGGAGGCCTGGGATGCTCCTGGGGAGCATGCTGGGGCCTGTGCTGGCTCACAGGGGGCCCAGTCGGAGGCTAATGAGCAGGTGAGGCCACAGCCAGACTGAGGCTGAGCTCAGCGTCTGCGCTCTGTGGAAATGGCCGAGCCAGGGTTTCAGGGCCACACTGCAGGACGGTTGCTGCTGCTGCTGCTGCTGCTAATGCCACCCCAGGCCCTGCTGGAGGGACCCCTGCTGTTCGTGGCTCTGGTAAGCAGCACCCCCACCCCTACTACTGCTACCTGACGCAGGTCCTACTTCCCCAGCCCTGACCCTGTGCCCTCCTGTCTCCAGGTGTTCCGCCATGGGGACCGTGCCCCACTGGCCTCCTACCCCACAGACCCCCACAAGGAAGCGGCCTCCACCCTGTGGCCTCGAGGCTTGGGCCAGCTGACCAGGGTTAGGAGCAGCGGGGAGGGGGGACTGAAGAAAGGGAGGGGGTGGATGGGGGTCCTACTAAGGCCACCTCTGTCTCCAGGAGGGCATCCGCCAGCAGCTGGAGTTGGGCCGCTTCCTACGGAGGCGCTACAAGGCCTTCCTGAGCCCCGAGTACCGTCGGGAAGAGGTACTGTGCTGACCTTTGACCCCAGTGTTCCCTTTGACCTTTCACCTGTGGTCTTGGACTCCAACAACGTGACCTGCACCCCTCTGGGCCTGAGACAACCAGGACCCTATCCTGACCTTTAGCCTGTCTCCACCTGAGATACAGCTTTGTCTGGATGCCCATTCACTCCAAGTTGACCTTCTGACTACTGAACTTGTGTCTTTGACCTCTGTCTTGCCCCCGATTTTTTTAAGGGGATGGGGGTTTTGGGGATGGAGTCTCAGGTCTTGCTGGGCAGGCACTCTTTCGTTAAGCTACCCCTGTCCTGACCTCTGACCTTTGATTCTCCCTTCAATTCAGACCTTCTTTTTCTGTCTCCTGACCTTAGGCTCAGTTCTGGCCACTGACCCCTGACTGACTCCTCTGAGGACTGTGTACTGAACTTTGGCCCCACATTTCTGGCCCCCATCTTGACCTCTAACTTCTAGCCCCCAGTGACTTTGATCTTTCTAACCCTCTTTGGCTCAGCTGGCCCCTAAAGTCCAACACCTCACCCAGCTCTGAACTCTGACCCTTGCTTCCAACTTCCAAAGTTGCAGACAGACTCCTGAACTTGCCCCTGACTCTCCATGCCTGACTGTAGACCCCTCTTTCTGATCTTTAACCTACCCCCAAACTGAATCTGAAGCTTTTGATTTGGGGAACTGCTGACCCTGGCCTGTGCCCGCCCTCCTGTCACCTCCACCTTGCCCAGGTGTATATCCGCAGCACAGACTTCGACCGCACGCTGGAGAGCGCACAGGCCAACCTGGCTGGGTTGTTCCCTGAGGCTGCACCTGGGAGTCCAGAGGCTGACTGGAAGCCCATCCCAGTGCACACCGTGCCAGTTTCTGAGGACAAGGTCAGGAGGCTGGACCTGGAGGGAAAGGCAGGATGAGTCTGAGTTCAAGGCCAGTCTGGGCACTTTAGAGAGACTGTCTCAAAATGAAAAGTTTAACAACAGGGCTGAGGATGTTGTTCAGTGGCAGAACCCCTGCCCAGTGAGGGGCTGGGATGTGGCTCAGTGGTAGAGCCCATGCCTAGAATTCCCAGAAGGGCTAGGGTGTGGCTCAGTGGTAGAGCCCCTGCCTAGAATCCCCCAGTGAGGGGCTGGGGTGTGGCTCAGTGGTAGATCCCCTGCCTAGAATCCCCCAGTGAGGGGCTGGGGGGGGGCTCAGTGGTAAAGCCCCTGCCTAGAATCCCCCAGTGAGGGGCTGGGGTGTGGCTCAGTGGTAGAGCCCCTGCCTAGAGTCCCCCAGTGAGGGGCTGGAGTGTGGCTCAGTGGTAGAGCCCTGCCTAGAATTCCCAGAAGGGCTGGGGTGTGGCTCAGTGGTAGACCCCTGCCTAGAATCCCCAGTGAGGGGCTGGGGTGTGGCTCAGTGGTAGAGCCCCTGCCTAGAATCCCCCAGTGAGGTCTGGGGTGCGGCTCAGTGGTAGAGCTCTAGCCTAGAATCCCCTAGTGAGAGGCTGGGAAATGGCTTAGAGGTAGGGTCTTGCCTAGCCTGCCCAAAGCCTTGGATTCCATCCCTAGCACCCGGCACATACAAAAAGGGATAGGGGTGGCGGGGGGTGGCGTTGCTGGAGATGGCTCAGTGGTTAATAGTACTGACTGCTCTTGCAGAGGACTCAGGTTCAATTCCCAGGCCCCATATGGCAGCTAACAACCATCCATAACTACAGTTCCCTGGGATCCAATGCCGTCTTTTGACCTCCGTGGGCATTGCATGGCACAGGCACACTTAACATAGATGCAGGCAACACACTCATACACATAAAATAAAAATAATAAAAAATACTAAAAAAACCCAAAAAAACAAAAAAACAAAAAGGGATGGGAAGAAAGAAAGGGACACTGAGTTGGAGAAGGACAGAGGCAGCTCCACTTCCAGACACCCAGGAAGGTGCAGAGCAGCAGGACCCCAAGAGTGTGAGCTGCCATCCCAGCGCAGCAGAGCTGGAATAAAGGGGAGATTGGGAGAGAGGCACAGGCCTGAACCCCCAGCCACATGGCCCACTGCGAGCTCCCAGCTGGGCCGCTGTCCTCTGAGCCTCAGTTTTCCCCAGTTGCTGAGGTTCCCCATGCGTAGCTGTCCCCGGTACCATGAGCTCCTGCGGGAGTCCACAGAGGCTGCTGACTACCAGGAGGCCCTGGAAGGCTGGACGGTGAGCACTGGGGTGCTGGTGGGGCAAGGCAGGAAGTGGGGATTGGTCAGTGCTCACCCAACCCAATGCTGTCATCCAGGACTTCTTGACCCGCCTGGGCAACTTCACGGGGCTGTCCCTGGTTGGAGAACCCCTCCGCAGGGCGTGGAAAGTTCTGGACACGCTGATCTGCCAGGTGAGCCCTCACATCTATGAATTAGAGGTTTTAAATTCTCATTTAGGCTAGCTGCTTATTGGAGCAAGTGATCTGGCCCTGTGTGAGTTCCCCATCCACGTGGTGAGGATGGTGTCTACACTTTGTTTCATGGTAGAGGTACTGACTGAGAGGGGCTACTCCAGATTGCACTGGTACCAGCTCCCCGAAATGTCAGATTCCAAAATACCTCTGGTCCTAGAGGGCTTGGGAAGGACTATGGGCTGAGCACTAGATACCCACTCTAGCCCACATTGTGGGGAGCTGGTTTTTGAGTTCAAATGAGGGCCAGAGTCTGGGAGATTTGGCTGTCAAGCACTAGGACCCATGATTTAAAAAAGAGGGGTGTTAGGCTTTGGAGGTGGTTCAGTCTGTGAAGTGCTTGTCGTGCAAGCATGAGGACCTGGGTTTGGATTCCCAGCACCTACATTAAAAATCCAGGTGCTAGCCAGGTGTGGTTGTGCACACCTTTAAACCAGCACTTGGGAGACAGAGATGTGAAATCCAGGCTAGCCTGGTCTACATAGGGAGTTCCAGACAAGCTGTGGATCTAGGGAGACCGTGCCTTAAAACAAAACAAAAATCTGGGTGCTGGACAGTTGGCTCAGCAGTTAAGAGCACTGGCTGCTCTTGCTGAGGACCGAGGTTCGGTTCCCAGCACTCACATGGAGGCTACCAATCTTCCCTAATTCCAGTTTCAGGGATCAGATGCCCTCTTCTGGCCTCTATGCGCATTGCAAGACTTGGAAGCACTTACACATGATGCAGGCAAACCTCATACACATAAAAAACAAACAAACAACCCCGAAAAACAAATGGAGGTCAGGAAGACAGCCAAAGTTCTCTTGACTGACCCTCTCTCTCCCCAGCGTGCCCATGGCCTTGCCCTCCCATCCTGGGCCTCCCCAGACGTCCTGAAGACACTGTCACAGATCTCAGCCCTGGATATCAGGGCACATGTGGGCCCACCCCGGGCAGCCGAAAAGGCTCAGCTGACAGGAGGTGAGGTGTAGAATCTGGGGGGAGAAGGGGCCTTCCTCAAGCAGGGGATGGGTATCTAAGCCTGGCTCTTGACCATCAGGGATTCTGTTGGATGCTATCCTCAGCAACTTCTCCCGGGCCCAGCGCCTGGGGCTGCCCCTCAAGATGGTCATGTACTCAGCTGTGAGTCCTTGGCGGGGGTGGGTGGATGGTAAGGAAGCCCTGGTAATCCCAGTGTAACCTCAGCCCACTGCCTCTGGTAACCCTTATCTCTAATGTTAGCGTTGGCACACCGAGTTACTAGCAGCAGTCTGTGAGGAGGGAAGGGATGGGGTCAGAGGGGCAAGAACCGACTGGATCCCTGGACCCCTTCTGCCGTATTCTGCATCTCCGGGCAAGCGTGATACAAGGGCTTCTTGCGGCAGGCGCCTGCCCCGTAGTGTGGGTCTGGTAGACATGTGGAGTACTAGCAGTATTCTGCAGGAATCCTGACTCAGCCCCCCATGGGAATCCCCTGCAGCATGACAGCACCCTGCTGGCCCTCCAGGGGGCCCTTGGCCTCTATGATGGGAACACCCCGCCCTACGCCGCCTGCCTGGCCTTCGAGTTCCGGGGGCGCTCTGGGGACCCTGAGGAGGAAGAAGACGGAGAGTGAGGATGAGTGGCAGTTTGGTTCTGGGCGGGATGGAGTCTCAGGAGGGGTGATGGGTAGTGCCACTGTATCCCCTCTGCCCCCAGGAACGTCACTGTCTCCCTCATCTACCGCAACGACACCTCCCGCCCGCCCCTGCCCCTCAGGATCCCCGGATGTCCGGCCCCCTGTCCACTAGGGCGCTTCCAGCAGCTGACCGCTCCAGCCCGACCTCCAGCTCACGGGGCCCCCTGCCATGGCTCATATGAGCCTGCCAGCCCCCCAGGTGACAGTCCTCTGCACAGGGGAGGGAGTGGGGAGTCCCCTCGGCCCGGGATTCACAACCCCCATGTTCTTCCCGCAGCCACGGTGCCCCTGCTGGCCGGAGCTGTGGCTGTGCTGGCTGTGCTGAGCTTGGGGCTCGGCCTGCTGGCCTGGAGGCCCAGCTGCCTGCGGGCCCTGGGGGGTGCTGTGTGAGCGGGGATGGGCAGCTCCCCCCAACCCCCAGCTGGCATGGATCCCAACACGTGTGCTCACCTGCTGCTCTGCCTGTCACTTACTGTGCGTGCGCATGGGGACTAGGGCTGGGCAGGCCGCACCGAGTGTGCGTGCACATACTCAGGTGTTGTATGGAGGTGCTAGCATCTACCTGTGGGGTTCCCAGGGCAGGCAGAATAACCATATTCCACATTAACAGGGAGCCTGTGGCCTCAGGTCACACGGAACCCTGAACAGTCCCCCAGCAGCCCCTTCTTGTGGGTGGCAGAACAGGCTGGTCGTCTTGGGTGTCCCCAGTATACTTGGGATCCAGATGGGGACAGGGTTCACCGGGGCCTGGCTTGAGAGGACTCATCATGGCCATGCTGGGTCCTCAGCAGACTGAGGGTCCCACCCTCCCACTGCCTAGCAGCTACTCAAGGCCCACTCCTGGAGCCCCACTCCCCGGTTTTAGTGCTGTCAGCTGACACTGGGAAAGCCAGGGGCTTTCACCTGGCCTGGGGAGGTCCATCGAGGCCCAAGTCCGGGAGCCAACCTAGCACTTTCCAATCCCAGCACTTGGGGCGCTAAGGATCACCTTGTCTTACAAGAACCTAAAGAAAACCCCTCAACTAGGGGCCCAAGTTTGGGGCTGGGGCCAGCCTGCGGCTGTGACTGGCGCCCACCAGCCCACCTTTCCTCACCAGACCGCTGGAGCACCCTCTGGAAACGGGCTCGAGGTGGACAAGTCCGCCTGTGCCTCACCTGCCCTGGACCCAGCTCGACACCCCGATTCCACCCAGGCCCGGACCAAGTCAAACAGCACAGTCCTTGGAGGGCAACGAAACAGCCATTTAATAGGAACTGGCAGAGCCCCCAGGGCTGTATGCCTCGTTCCCCGGGCAAACACAGACCCACACTGGCCAGAGGCCATGTGTGCAGCCAGGCAAACCAGAGCCAGCTGGGACATGCTTCAGAAGGGAAGGGTGTGGCTAAAAGAAAATTGGAACAGGACCCCCCAAGGAAAGTCCTTACAAAGGGGGACCCTTCCCTCCCTAAAACTAAAGTGTCACACAAGCTCAAAATAAAATATAAAGTAAAAGTGCTGCATTAGAAAAGTTTAAACTCGAAGGAAGCCCTTACCATGAGGGCCTGGCCCTAAAGTGTCGAATATGCTTAAAATAAAATGTTAAGTCAAAGTTCTGAGCCCTTACAATTAAAGGAAGTATCACACGGGAGTAAAACATCATGTAAAAATGCTGCATTGGAAAAGTAAAAAATTCAAGATGGCCTATACATATTGGTACTTGGGGCCTGGGCAACAGAGGGGTGGGGACCTTGCTGTGGCCACCCACCTCATCATGGCCTGAACGGTTCAGCTCCCAGGGGCTTGTGTCCTCCAGGGGTTGCAGGTGGCCACCTGTGGCTCATTCCCCATGAGCTGTGGATGAGGATAAGGACAACCCTCTTGGGGTCACTGATTGTGGCATCAGAACTAGGGGGTATTTGGGAAGGTACTCAAGCCTACTTTCCCAGTAGCCCAGACTACTCGTGCTGCACGGGTGGCTCTTCCCCACAGGCCTGGTCAGAGTACGGGGGTGGGGGGGGCTGCTCCTCCGCCAGCCCGTAGGTGGGGTGACCTCGGCTGCGCTTGGCCTCCTTGATATAGAGCTCCAGGAGCACCTTGGTGGGCTGCTTGTCCACCTGCTCCCGGGGCACCCCACGGCTCAGCAGCCAGCCCAGGAGGTCCTTGCGAGTTGGGTTGGGCCCCAACATGAGCTTGGTGCGGCCAGGCTGGCTCTGCCGCCAGAGCAGGCCCACGTCGGCGATGGTCTGTATCTCCATCACAGCCTCCAGCACAGTCATGCCCCGCACCAGCAAGCTGACCAGGGAGAGCCGCAGCTCGGAGGGTGCAGCTGTGAGCAGGCGCCGCTGCAAGCCCTGGGTGAAGGGCACGTCCTCAGGGGCCAGAGCCACAGGCCCCTCTGGGTCAAGGTAGATCCACTCGAGCATGCCCAGCTCGCGCACCAGCTGGATGCCTTCCTCCATGGTGGTCCACGGCCGGAAGGGCAGCTCGGTGGCCTCAAAATGCAGGGAGGACTCCCAGCGCTGGCGCCAGGCCTGCAGCAGCCAGCTTACTAGTGTCTGGCAGCCACCTCGCAGGGCCTTGCAACGGTAGTTGAAGATGGCGTCGTGGGTGAGGTCGCCCAGCAGCCCCAGCTCCCCGGAATTGAGAGACAGGGCAGGGCCCCCCTGGTCATACACCCGTAGGATCCAGGTGACCATGAGCTCATTGGGGCTCTGCCGGAAGCGCCGCGAGATGGCCAGCAGCTCGGTGTACGTGTAGTAGCGGTCCCCCCGGCCCGCCTGGGTGGGCACCAGCACTCTCTCGGCCATGGCCAGCAGCCTCAAGGGTCAGAGAGAGGGCCTGGGGCTGCTGTGGCAGAGGCTAGGAAAGGACAGGGGGTGCTGGGAGGTGGCAGGGCCACACTCCTATCTATCACCCCTCCAGAGTAGGAGCCCCTCAGACCTCCAGGTGTCAAAGGTCCTCAGGGTGGTTGGAGCCCAGTATTAGGTATCACAGGGATCCCCAAGCACAGCCCTGACAGGATGCCTCATGGCATAGGGTCAGCAGTGCTTCAAGAGCTCAGGACAGCCTGAACCTAGCTGTCTGTAAGGGCATAAAGACTGTTTCCTACCCCAGGCCACCCTTCTGCACTTACCTGGAGGGAGCTGGGCTGTGTGCACAAAGGCCTGCAGGCAGGAAGGAGAGGGGAAAGAGGCTGGTGAGGCTCAGGGAGATTGATACCCATTAGTCCCTTTTCCCAGTCAGGGCCCCTCAGACCCCCGGGTGTCAAAGGTCCCGGGGGGGGCACCATGTCCTCAGGGTACTCAGAGCCCAGTGCTGGACATCACAGGGGTCCCCATGAGCAATGACAGGATGTCTCAAGCCATTGCAGCCCAGCACCCCATTACTGTCTGAACTTAGGTCTGTCTGTACTAGCTAGTATTCCTACCTACCCCAGGCCACCCTTCTGCACTTACGTGGGAACCAGGCTGTCTGTAGGAACTGCCTAAAGGAAGAAGGGGAGAGGCTGGTGAGGCTCAGGGAGACTGCAACACTCCACTAGCCCTTCTCCCAGTCAGGGCCCCTCAGACCCCTGGGGTGTCAAAGGTTCAGGGGGGCACCATGTCCTCAGGGTACTCAGAGCCCAGTGCTGGACATCACAGAGGTCCCCCAGCACAGCCATGAAGACTCTGCTCCCAGGCTGCCCTTCTGTGCTTACCTGGAGGGAGCTGGGCTGTGTGCACAAGGCCTGGAGGCAGGAAGGACCAGAAGAGGCTGGTGAGGCTCAGGGAGACCGACACCCCACTAGTGCTTTCTCAAAGCAAGGGCCCCTCAGACCCCGGGTGTCGAAGGTCCTGGGGAGCACCATGTCCTCAGAGCCCAGTGCTGGACATCGCAGGGGTCCTGGTAGTCTCAGTCCTCCCCTGCCCCTTTCAGCCCCAAGGGGATACTATAGGCAAGAAAATGACTGACCCTGGTTTCTGAGAGTAACAGGGGACCAGTCCCCTTAGCCTGCTTTCCATCAAATATATTTAGTTTGGAATTCCTGACCTGCCTTCATGTCTCAAATGCTAGAGCTGCAGACACAGACCTGTACCACCACACCCATCTTGTTTACTTTTGTATGTAGCCCAGGCTGAACTTGGAACTCAGGATCCTCCTGACTTAGTGGTTTGGAGTACTGGGATTATAGGCACAGACTAGGACCATCCCTCTATGTCCACCTTGACCCGCGTGGGCTGCCTCACCTTCTGGAAGGTAGGCAGATGAGGTAGAGGCTGGGCCTGGCCCCCTGATCTCCCAGGGCACGAGGAAGATGCCCTTTGCCCCAGGCCTGCTTCCCCCCAGTCTTCTAAGCTGCCTGGCCTTGGGCAGCATCAGTTGTCCACTCTGTAACTTGGGGAAGTGACTTTCCAGAGCTTTCTGTGGAGAAACCTGCCTCTCACTGGCACCCTACTGCAATTTGGTGAGCTTTTTCTTTTTTTTTTTTCCTGTAGGAAGTCTTGATATATAGCCCAGGCTGGCCCCCAACTCATGATTATCCTGCCTCAGTCTCCCATGTGAGTCATCTGCCTGGCTATTTCTCAACTAAACACACACGTGCTCAGCACTATTTAGCAACATAAATTTAATCCACCTGTTGTTTAAATGCATCTAGAAATGTGAAGCTCAGCCCCAGGAATACCCCCGCAACTGCACTCACAAGCTCCATGTGACAGGGCTAGCAGAGCATGACCACAGGGGTAGGCATGGGTCTGCCTATCCACCTTCCCCAGGACCTCCCACCGCTCCCTATGCTCAGTGCAGGGTACCTCTTCACTAGCGGGCCTAGCACACTGATGTGTTAAAGACAAGGTCAGTGACACTGCAGTCACTGTCCTCTGGGCTTTCGCAGGGAACAATGGGGAATTCTTCCTGCCTCTGCTGCTTTGCTCTTGGAAACATCCCTCAGATAAATCTTGTTATCCTAACAATGTGCCAGCGTACACCCAAGGCTCTTTAAGAAGTGACTGATTCATACTTTTTCTTCCACTCTACATTTTAGGCAGTCCTTATCTCTGAAGGCAGGGCACGTTGCTACCCTGAGTACACAGAGGGCTCAGACACCTGCTCCAGCCAGCACCCAGGTTCAGCTGCCTGGGCTCCCATAACTAAGACAGCTTCTGCAGATAAACACCCTCCATTCTTGGTAAATTAGGTGCCAGGGAAACTGACACAAAGCTACTTCACATGAAGGTGAACTAGCTGCGACCTGTTCAAATCAAGGAGTGAGAGTCCTTACCACAGAGCCGATGCTGGTAGGTGTCCTTTGGCTTGAAGATACACCTGTAACACAGGGAGGATGTGATGAGGACACACGTGGGGACCGCTTATATACAGAACTTCAAAAACCAGGCTCCTCAGATCCCAGGTGTCAAAGGTCCTGGGGGGCACTGTGTCCTCAAGGCTGATCGGAGCCCAGTGCTAGACATCATGGGAGCCCTGGACCTGGCCCAGAGGTCATGGCCACTTGTCCTCAGGATGGAGGCCAAGTGAGGAGAGCAGAGATCAAAAAACACAAGACCCAGAGATGCTTCCACTCAACCCAGCGACAGAACCAGAGACTCCTTTGGGATGGGCTGCCAAGACCTTGCTCAGCCCAGGTGTGAACAGATCTGGGAGAAGGCAGGGGAGAGCACTTAGCAATGCACACAGCAGGCTCCCAGAGGAAGGGGGTGGGGAGGAAGTCAGCAGCTCCCTTCAGGCAGGGGCCCACATGGTCAGGAGCGTTCCAGATCTTTGAGCACCAATTTACCAATTCCTTCGCCCCACCCTGTCCCGTGCTTTGCAGAGTCGAGGCTTGACCCCAGGACATCACCCATTGCTGGGCAACACGTCCACACTTGGCCCTAGACAATCCCTGCACCCCGCCCCAGGCTTTGCAGAGTCGGGACTTGAACCCATGACATCATCCACGCTGGGCAACGCGTCCACGCTTGGCTTTTTCCCCATCTATCCCTCTTCCATCATGCCAGGGTCCTCGCAGGTCAGCACAAGCCCAGTTTCCACCTGCTTCTCCCAGCAACCCGGAGGTCCACGTGCGGTGCACACTCACTTCCGCCTGGATGCCCCCCCAATCCTCACACGCTCTAAAGATCCCACGGGGTGCAGTGGTAGGGCTCCTAAGGAGAGATCCTGGCGGGAGGGAACACAAGGGAGGAGCACACGGATGTCATCCTGGGGGGGCGGAATTAGATGTCACACCTCCGGCCCTGTCACCCCCAGATGGGTAAGATGGCGGACGAGACCCGCGATGAGAGCAGCAGAAATGGCGGAGGCCGCCTGACGTGCACACAAAGGCCATCCCCCTCACCTGCCGCAAGGAAGCGCTCCCAAAGGGCCCGCCCTCGCCCCTCTAGGGACACCCGGGCTCCAGCGCGGGCCCGAGGCCCACGCAGCGCTCCGGACCCGGTCCACGTAACAAGGGCCCCCGAGACCAAGCCCCGCACCCCAGGACACGCGCATCCCCGAGCCCGAAGCCACGCCACGGACCGGAAGGCGTGAGACAAGCCAAAAAACACTCACCCCACACCTTCTCAGCAGCCGCTCGCCACCCACAAGAACGCGTCGCGGCCGCGAGTCCCGCTTTATACCGCGCGCCGCTCGGCAGGCCCCGCCCCCGGCGCCCTGAGGCTCTCCTCGGACTCCGCCTCTTTCAGGCTTCCGAAGCGGTGCTCACCAGGCCCCGCCCCGGGTGCTCCTCAGGACCCGACCCCGGCAACCCTCTGACTCCGCATCTCTCAGGCTCCCAGGGCCGCGATCCTCAGGCTCCACCCCAGCATCTTCAAGCCCCGCCCCGACGCCCCTCCGGCTCCGCGCCCGGCACCGCTCATGCTCCGTGGTGAGGCAGGCAACACTGCCCTTGCGTCAGAAGCCCTTCTTTGCCGTAAGGGAAAGAACAGTCGTTCACTGCCACTAGACACTTCCTGACCAGGGAGATGTGTTGCCTCTGAGAAGGACAAGGAAAGGAAGGAGGAGGAAGGACGCATCTGGACCGTCATTCTGTTACGCACGACTGGCAGTGCTGAGGCAGCCCCGAATAAGGGGCGGGAAGAGAAAGGACCCACCCCCGAGTGGGCGGAGACATGACCGGAAGCCACCCGAACTACCAGCTCAGCAGAAGGGCGGGCGGGTCACGCTTAAAGGGCCGACCCAAGGGAGGTGGGGGTCGGGGGGGATGCGGGGCCACTGGGAGATTGACAGGCGGTGGAGGGACGCACCCGCGTGGCTCAGAGGCGGAGCTGAAGAGTGATGTGCGGGGCCTGAGCGGGCCCAGAAGGCGGGGATTCCATCAGTCCCAAGGAGGAGGGTGGGAGAACCGAGTCCGGGGCGGAGGCTGGGGAGGACCTCTGGGTCTGATGGAGGAGGCTGGGAGGATCCCTGGGTCTGAAGGAGGAGATTGGGGAGGATCCTGGGTCTGAAGGAGGAGGCTGGGGAGGACCACTGAGTCAGAAGGAGGAGGCTGGGAGACCACTGAGTCTGAAGGAGGAGGCTGGAGAAGACTTCTGGGTCTGGGGGAGGAGGCTGAGGAGGACCCATTGGGATGCTGACCTGTATCCGTGCTTGGAGCTGGGTCAGGGCACCCTCCCCTCCCCTCTACTGTGTTGACACCGCCTTCCTCTGCACAGCTGGGGCTCCGCCTCTTCTCCGGTTCATGGGCCATGTGTCCCTGCTTCTGCCCAGGATCTGGAGTCTGTCGATCCTGGCGGGGCAGCTTATGGAGGCTCAGCGGTTGGAGCATTGACTGAGCTTGCAGAGGACCCGGGTTCGAATCCCAGCACCCACATGACAACTAACACCCGTCCGTAACTTCAATTCCAGAGGATCCGACGCCCTCCTTTGACCACCGCGGCCATTGCACACACGATGCACTTACGCACATTCAGGAAGTGTTCCTCTAGCACGAAGCCCCGGGTTCCATTCCTGATGCCGTGGAAACCAGGCGTGATGACACATCGGCCATCCCAGCACATAGGGGTGGCGGCTGGTCCAGCCGATCACACCTTCAGGTTCATTCTTGGCTACATAGTGAGTTGGAGACCAGCCTGGGCTACATGAGAGCTTGTCTGTTTTATTATTTAATGTGTATGAATGTACTGCCTGCATGTGTGTAAGTGCAGCCGTGTCTGCAGTGCCACAGAGCCCCAGCCCCTGCGGAGTGGATCTGGGCCGTGGCTCAGCAGATGCCAGTGGACCCAGACCTTCCAGACCCCAGCACTGGGGGCCAGCCTGGTCTACACAGCCAGTTCTGGGCCACCGGGTGACTACTAAGCCCTGTCTCCAAACACACAGCAACAAAACGAATCTAAAGGCCGAAGCCCCGGCCTGTGGTGAGCCAGCTGCTCAAGAAGTATGACCACCACGGATATGCAGGGAAGCTCATCCACTAAGCGCCACGTATATGCAGGCGCTCCTTCTTTGGTCTTTTACCTCAGTCCTTTCTCTTTCCGAGAGAGAGAGAGAGAGAGAGAGAGAGAGAGAGAGAGAGAGAATGTAGGACAGGGAACTCTAGGTAGAGAAAGCCACCAGGCCAAGACACAGATCAAACCTAATAGTCATCAGGAATTTTGGCCTGACATAATGTGCAGTCAAAGAGGGAGACCTCTTGAGTTTTTCCTCTGAAGTTCAGGGAGGAGATTGGCCCATCTGTGCCATCCATGTGTGAGCTAAGTAGCAGTCACATCTGTAGGGGACAGCCAGGGCCAGGACTGTACAAGGTAAACCTGAAAGTTGACCCTAGTACTGGAGAGGCAGAGGCAGGTGGATCTCTGAGTTCGAGGCCAGCCTGGTGTACATAGAGAGTTCCAGGCCAGCTGGGGCTGTAGGGAGATCTTGTCTTCAAACAAACACACAAAAAGGAATATTCTCAGCAGAAGATAAAGATTTTTCTTCAAAATACAGATTACTCATCTGGGTTGAGGGGAGCCAGAGGGCACAGAAGTTCTGAGCTGCAGGCAAGGACAGGGGTCACAAGCAGGCTTGTGGACACCAGCACAGACCATTGCCGTGTTCTAAGACCACATGGCCTGGATTGCCAGAATGGACCAGAAGTTCATGTAGTTGAGATATGAGAAGAGACCTGGGTGGAGGGGGTGACGCACATCTCAGCCCCCACCACTTGCCCCATCCTGGGGTTTAGCCCAATCCAGTCCCCTGCCAGGTCCCCAAACCCAGACTCAACTGCACTCACACCTGGTTCTCATGCTACTCCCAGCTTCCAAGCATCCCAGCTCAGCCCAGTTTCCTCAGGGCCCTGTGTACACCTCCACCCCACCCCTAACTTCCCCACCCCCACCACAGCACGGTGCCCTCTGCACCCAGGAGGCCAGCCAGACCAATCATGGAGAAGAAGAAGACGATGACCCAGGCCAGATAGAAGCTGATGCCCAGGTTGTAGGTCATGCCCTCCTGCAAGTACTTCCAGGCCTGCATCAGGTAGAACAGGACACCCAGGATGATGCTGATCCCTGTGAGAGCACAAATGCAAGGGAGTTGGGTGAGGCCCTCTGCTAACATGAGACTTTCTTTTGCCTCCCTCCCTCCCTCCCTCCCTCCCTTCTTCATTCCTTTACTTTTGTTCTTAGAACAGTTTTATTAACTTTAAAAGAAAAACAGCTCAGGGCAGGCAAGCTGTAACTCTCAGCAGCTACCTTTTGAGCTACCGTACCAAGGCCAGCCTGGGCTGCATAGCAAGCTCTTGTCTCAAAATGGTAACGACAGAGAAGAAAGGAAGGGAGGGAGAAGGGAAGGAGGGAGACCACTGGGCGAGGGGGTCAGGAAAGCCCAAAGTATTCACTTAGGTTCCCTCAGAAAGAAAGAGAACAAAGGAAAAGAAAAGCCGGCTCATGGGGCCTCCCTCAGCATTTTTGCATGAGTGAGCGCAGCCCTGAGCCATTCCCTGCACCTCCACCTCCTGAGTGCTGGGATCACAGACCTGAGCCACCAAGTCTAGTTTGTGCAGTTTGGGGTATGGACTCAGGGCTCTGTGCATGGTAGGCAAGCATGCTGTGGACTGGGCCACACCTCCAGTTCTCTGTTCTTTTTTCTTTCCTCTCCTCTTTCCCTCCCTCCCCTCCTTCACCAACTTCCCCCCTCCCTCCTCCCTCCTCCTTCGTTCCTCTTTCTGTTGTCATTTTGAGGCAAGACCTTGCTATGTAGCCCAGGCTGGCACTGACCTTGCCGTGTAGCCCAGGCTGGCCTCCAGCTTGCTGCACTCCTGTTACCTCAGCCTCCCAAGCTAGGCTTACGCATGTGTCCCCGTGTCTAGCATTGTCCTCCATTTGACCTCCAGATCCCACCCTTCTGCCCGTGGCCTCCTGGCAGTGCCCTGGTGGGAGGCATTCGAGTGATGCCCTAGTGACTATTGGAGCAGCTCTGGGATTCCCAGACCAGGCTTCTGCCCCTTATGTCAGGACGGCCACTCCTATCTGAGCCTCTGTCCCTTCATATGTACAGTGGGCATCGCTGGAGGACCCCTCTCTGAGGGCCACCGTGCAGGCATGTTGTGATTGGTGTGCATGCCCTCCTGACCACGGGAAACCGCTAAGACTGGATTCATAGGACATCAGCTCCTTAACGTTGGGCTTCTGGAATCACAGACGAAACTCTCAACCATGCTGGGTATGTTGGATTGACAGGCATTAAAAATAAGTTGTAAAAAAGGAAAAAACTTTGGGGCTGGAGAGACGGCTCAGCGGTCAGAGCACTGGTTGTTCTTCCAGAGGACCCGAGTTCGAATCCCAGCACCCACATGGCAGCTAACAACTGTCCATAACCCCAGTTCCAGGAGGATTCGATGACCTCTTCTGACCTCTGGGCACTGCATGACATGGGTGCACTTACGTGCAGGCATAACACTCATACACATAAAAATAAACATTTTTAAAAGATACTTTTTGGCCGGGCGTGGTGGCACACGCCTTTAATCCCAGCACTCGGGAGGTGGAGGCAGGCGGATATCTGTGAGTTCAAGGCCAGCCTGATCTACATAGTGAGTTCCAGGACAGCTGGGGCTACAGGGAGACCCTGTCTCAAAAAAGACAAAAATAATAATAATAATAATTCAGCAACATTAAAAAAAAAGATACTTTTTGGACTGTACTAGGCTATTTTCTTTTAAAAACACTCTATTATTTTTATCTTATGTGAGTGTATTCCCTGGATGTGTGTAAGTGCATGTGTGTCATGCAATGTTGAAGAGTTCAGAAGACGGTGTCAGATCCCCTGGAATTGGAGTCACGGATGGTTGTTAGCCACTGTGTGGGTTCTGGGAATCAAACCCAGGTCCTCTGCAACAAGAGCTGCTGGTGCTCTAACCGCTGAGCCGTCTGTCCAACCCCTGAGCTATTTTCTTGAATTCTTGAAAGTAATATAGTGTTTCCCATTAGGTTAAAAGAGGGACTTGCACCAGGCATGGTGGATCTCTGTGAGTTCAAGGCCAGCCTGGTCTACATAGTGAGTTCCAGGACAGCTGGGGCTGCAGGGAGACCCTGTCTCTAGAAGACTGGAAAAATGCCTTATTTTAAACTGAGGTGTTTTCTATCCTTTGAGCCTATGTTTAAACAATTACATAGATATTTTAAAGAGCCGTTTATTTTATGTGGGTGCGTGTTTGCCTGCATGTACATATGTGCACCTCATGCCCATAATACACACAGAGGCCAGAAGAGGGTGTTGGATCCTCTGGAACTGGAGTTACAGGCCATTGTGAGCTGCCCTGTGTGTGCCTAACTCCGGGCTTCTGCAAGAGAAGCCAGTGCTCTTAACTGCCAAGACATTGCTTTAGCCCCAACAATTTTAT